TATAGAAAATCACAATAAGAAATAACCACCGGTGAAGTCTTTTGTCTTCTTTAACTTAAGACTCTCACCGAAAAAGCATTGAACTGAAAACTTCCATGAAATCATTGAACTTTCTAGTCAGTGAAGTTTCACACTTTTTTGGATGCTTGTCCTAAATCTATGACATTTGAGAAATATCATGGGGTGCGTCATTGTACGAAATACGTATTCCCAACTTTGGATGCTGATTCATACGAACTGAGGAAAGTAAACATCTCGGAGGACGACTTCTCTGATTGTTTATAGTTTTTTTTTCCAAAGCTCTAAGAAGAACAATTGAGAGATCCGTGCTCTTCTGTGGAGTTTCCTTATCTATTCCTAGTTATCCCGAAAATTCTAAAAATAAAACATGGATAGTCGAGGTACTAAGACGAATCACGGAGCTGAATATTTGGAATGATTTTTTACCTTATGTCAAAAAAAGAACTACCGTATCGAGCAAAATCTTGTTTAGGATGACAAATAGCTCGCCTTCCATGACTCCGCATGGTTCGACATTTCTTTTTTTCGCACTGCTGTCGTCCACAGAAGTGGTTATTTCTTTGTAGGTACGATAGGTTGGATGCGACCATCTAGAACAGCACTCGATTCAGTGGCTGGTTGAATATAATTGTATTGGAGGACTTGTAAGAGGTCGATTTTCTAACACAACGATTCTTTCTTTTCCTAATTTGTCTTCTTCTTACTCCAAGATTGGCCGACTGACATTTCAATTTACGTTGCCGAATGGGAAACTAGCCCATTCATTGGTAGGTCTGCGAATTTCAACACATAGCTTATTAAATACGCTGGCCTGATCTTTGGAAAGAATCTCATTGAAAGTTCTGTGGATTTGACGCACAACTATCAGCGATATCAAAGTGTTAAATTAGGTTTTAGTAGAGCAGTAATACATTTAGGGATTGTTTGTTCAGCGAAGTATCTAAGCTCCGCAATCGTTTTAGTTAGTCGGTAGCTTTGCTTAGAAAATCGAAAGTTCCGCATGCTGTTTTTTGTTTTCTACTTCAATCCTCCATTGGATTGATCTATGTAATGTGGTGGTCTATGCTGCTGTGTGGTTCCGTTTTACTAGAGCAGTTTTTCATGTAGTATCCTTTCCTCCAAATGATTCAGAGCCATGTTCTGTTGCCTGCTATATCAAAGTCAGGTGTCGTTTACAGCTCAGAAGTTTCATTCGACTATATGACCATCTTGTCAGCAAACCAGGGCTTAGAAAGTATCTTTTCACATAGTCCAGTAAACCGTCAATAGTGGGAACATTGAAGACAACATTCCCGGTTTAAATCTCTTTTCCTCACATAGGAAGTGTTCGCTGTTCAGCCAGGGACTACGGAGGGAGACTTACTTTTAAGTTCTTGAGCACCTTGCTTGCAAGACAAGCAATATTGCCGCGAACCTGTAACCTCTCTAGCAGCCCAAATATACGCTTCGTTCCTTTTCCATTGAACTCTATCTCCAACACTATTTAATATTTGGTTTGTACGTTTGAATTCGTCTAGGATAAAATAAAGGGTAAAGCTCTGGGAGTTGATTAATCCCTAAGGGATGCGCCATGCTTCCGCCTTTATTAAGTATCGCTGGAAGTGATTGAATGCATATCTGGCCTTTACAATGGCTCGCAGTGGCATACCGATGTATCGAGCTAGTGCTACCCTCCCAGACAAGTCTAGTACCAATTTGCCGACTCCGGAGGGATGGAACGCTTGGTGGGCCATGGGCGCGGAGATCGATTCCATGTCTGTGCCGCAGTGGTGCCTCCAACCACTGTGCCACATGCGCCCGAATTCGTCCAGAGAGTGTATAAATTGCAGCAGTTGAATTCCATGATTGTTTTCATTGTCGCTTCTAATGTCCTCATTCTCACTATTTGGCGTCTTTCAGTGATTCTACATGTAGAAGGTGGTTCATCTTCTTGTGGATAAAGTCAAAATGAGAATTCTGGTTTGCTAGCGATTAGTGCAACACTATAATTCCACGACTGACTCTCTATTAACCTCGGCATTGATGCCAAAACACCAACGCGCAAACTTCTACAGGTTTTTTGGATAAATACCAAAAAGCCAGAATGAACAGCAGGGAGGATGCGCGGAGATCACACGTGATCTGGCTCCGTAGCTTCGCATCGACTTTTGATGTCGAGTAGTGCACTTACCGACCATATGGGACTCTTATCGGTTTTTCTTCTTCAGTGGAAGGCGCGTAATAAACGGTGGGTTTCTTCGAGAAGCTGTTCATAGTGTGATTGCAATTTAGATTTTCATCTTTCTGTTTGTGTTATCGGAGTGTTTGACTTAGTAAATTGCCTTTCAATATACCCTTCCAGGCTCTGAAGAAGGCGAAATCCGCCCAAAAGTCAGCTATGACGGAATAAATAATAAAGTAACACCTCATGTATGCTCAACAAGAATATTGAGAACTATAATTCCATTCTAACGATGACATTTCTTCAACACAAGGGATCACCTGTATCACGTGTAGTTCCGTTGGTCGTCGAGTGACTCGAGCGGGCGCCAGTAAATCTTCCATTTTTCGCTGTCGCGTGCAAGAGTAGCCCAGTGGGTTCTGCTCGCTCCAGGGATTCGTTGAGCATCATATCTTTTTTCAAGGCTCTTTGTAAAAAACTCTGACCATCAGGTCGGTGGTCTCCCTGCATTACGTTTGACATCCCGAGGAATCCAGTCATCGGTTGCCATTCATACGCACTACGTGTCCGGCCCACTCTATCTTCGACTGTTCGGCGTAGAGTTGGAGACTATCTCCGAAAGTTGCCGATATCGTGTAGGTCACCCTTCTTGTACAATAACGCGGTCTTGCTGATTTTAGATTGAGTAGAGACCTTGCATTCAGACAGGTAACATGTGAAGCTGAGCCAGTGTGTTTACGAGGACTGGCGGAAGATTCTTCAAGTGTTCTGGTCTTATCCTGTCCGGGCTTGATGCTGTTCGATTTTTCACCGACGAAATGGCATGTCAAATTTCGAAGGGAGAACCGGCGGTACAACATATCCATCCTCCTTTATTTCATATGACGAAAGATGGACGTGGCTATCGAAGCGATTCGAGTAGTATTCATGAATGATTTTCTCCATTACCTTTCTGGACGCCGTAACTATTCCGTCTGGGCGCCGGAGTGCAATCATTTTGGTCTTGTAATTGGCGAAGCTTTGCTGTGCTTTGCGAATGCTTTTCCCAGCTTCGGCTATTACTGCTGCTCTTCTTTCTTTAAGATCTTCTTTTATCGCCTGTGTGCATTGTTTTGCAAGTTCGGACGTTAGTTCGCGGTTGCCTGCAGCTCGAGCGCTTCCACGCTGGCGTACCAGCTCGAGGGTTTCTAGAGAGAGACGTCTCTTGGTGACTTTCGAACTCTCAGCTTTCATAGCGCTAACGTTAAGATGTTGAATGAGGCGATCGTATTCTTCGTCGTTGTTATAGACAGGGACATCTTTCCAACAGCTGACTAATGAATTGAACAAGTCCCAGTTTACGGCGGTTCTGGGATTTCGGTTTTGGGATTTAGCGGCTTTTTCTCCTTTCAGCGAGAAATAGAATCTTGCACGGAGACTATGGTCTGATCCTGTATAAAATTTTGGGACAACAGTGACATCGGTTAGACACAACCTTCTATTTACTATGATGTAGTCTATTTCGTTGTGGTGCTCCCCATTGGGAGATTCCCACGTCCAGCGTTGAGTGTGGGGCTTCTGGAATTGCGACTTACCATGGATTGTCTTGGTCGCCATGATAAACTCAGGCAGCCGCTCACCCTGTTCGTTCCATTCTAATCCGTGGGTCTCAACGTGACGTTCTTCAAACGTTTTTCTTGGTCCAGTCTTGCCGTTGAAATCTCCAATGATGACCTTGAAGAATGTGTGGCCTTCTCTGCATTTTTCCAATTCCATATAGAACGCTTCGACTTCTTCGTTATAGTTTGATGTCGGCGCGTAAACGACGAACGTTGTCAAAGCCAGAATTGATCCACGTCTTTTTAATCGTAAGCGTTCCATTTGGGTTGTACGTTGTTCGAATGAGTCGATGTTCATGGACAAAGTCGTGTTGACGAGGACGCTGACGCCGCCGACGCTTCAACTGTGGCATGTTCCGAGGAACAGTTGTCATTGACAGCGTTGAAAGGGTGGCGTAGTCTCGTCTTGGTCAGGCCGATGACGTCGTACTTTATCCTTCTTGCTTGCATGAGCAAGTCTTCTATCGAGGACTCGGATGCAAGTGTACGTGCATTGTAGGTACAGATAGTCACCATAGTTTCTTGTAATCCAGGCAGCTTCCATTGGACTTGAGATTTTAGTAGCCTCTCCGTACTCGTCCTACCCAACGCTGCGAAATTGGGGGCTCTTTCGGGGTCAGGGGAATGAGGCCCGTTTTTTTTTTACTGTGTTTAGCATTTTTGATACCCACGTATAGCTTGCTGAGCTTTGAACGTGGAGGCTAGGTATACCCATGGGTAGCCAGCCAGTCTCTCCCAGAGCGGACATGGAGCTTATTTGTTGGTGGCGACTGCTAACCGCTTGCCATGTACTTGCCAGTCACTTGATTGCAGACTTTTGCCGAATTGTTTCCTAGAATACAATTTGCATAAGCAAGAACACACCCACACACACATGCATGAATACGCCTAGCAAATACAGAAAGCATATGCCAAATCAGCGCAGCAGAAATAGGGAGTCTATCTCCTGGGTCCACCTACGTCTCAGGGAAGCAGAGGTCGCTTTTGGTTCGCGATTAATCTCCTATCCTCCACCTGGGGACGCGCCACGTAGCATCGCGACTAACCGGCTCGAGATCTCTCATGTGAGGGAGATCCGTGGCAGCACAAGGGAAAGGCAAACAATCAATTCTTTCAAGGATTTCTGCAACAGGAACTCTTCCAAAATGGTTTTTGTAGAGAAGAAGCTTATTTTGGTCTTTTTGCTGAGGGTTCGTAATGGATATTTTCTCGTGTATCGTTTGGTTTTAGCGCTCTGCTCCCCCGAAGACGGTAGCGAGAAGGCGTACGTCGATTCTCTAAAGAATGCAGCTTTGGAATTGAAAACAAAACATTTTGAGCACTATAAGGTAGGATTTATACATAAATAGTTAGATTAATGTGTTGCCAATGAATACTCCACGAATAAATTATGCTACTTCTTCATAACTTTTTTTTCCAACATTTCATTTCAAATCTTTCATTGTTTTCTACTTTTTTTCCACCATTTAATATTTTTTTCCACTGGTTGCGTAAAATTAGTGGTTCAGATGAAAGATCTTGAAGTTCAGGTATGGAATGTGTCACGACCACGTCACGACTTAACCCGGTGTTTAGCGGCGGAGAACAGTGGGTGGCCTGCGCGATTAGCCCCGCCTCTCGACCGACTGTGCGCCATTTGCAAACAGTTCGAGCAGTGGCTCTTGGCGAACAACCGAAACGTGATTGTGATTCACTGCAAAGTAAGTCTTCAAATCCATCGAGAATGACGATATGAGTCTGCTGAAGAAGCTGTATGATCGTTCTAGTATTTTCTTAAGTTAGTTCAGCTACAGGTAACACCTAGCTGTACTTACCGTAATTTTGAAAACGGGCCTAGGCGCAGTGCTGAAAATATACTTTCGTTTTCATAGGTGTAGCACCTTCGAATGGCTTTCTCGCAAATATAGGTGAAAGATTATGCCCAAGTATATAAAACACTGTTAGGAATTGTGCTGGCAACCACGTAACTCTTCTTCAATAGGTGCCGATCAAATATTATCTATATTCCCTTGCAATTTAGCTCTTTATAGTCGTTACTCAGTCTACGTGAGAGGAGCACGGTGGTTGGGGATGCAATACCTACGTTCTGGCCTGACTCAACTTAAGCTCAACAGAATGACAGACAAATCGTTTTTTCCCCTTTAAAATAGTACACGTTAGTGATGAACCAGGTTGGCCAACAAGGTAAATAAACTCTCATGACCGACTTTTTATTAACCTCGGCATTGATCACGTAATTCTTCGTATTTTTGTTGAGCAAACGCGAGGTGTTATTTTTATTCTTTATTCACCAATAAGTTGGCGCTTCGGCGGATTTCGCCTTCCTTAGAGCCTGGAAGGTCAAGTTGATAGCAATCTACTCGGCCAGACACTTCTATAACCAAACAAAGAAATTCTGAACCAAGATTTCAATCACATTGAACACAGCTTTGCACACTCACCGCTTTCTATGAGGTTTCCACTAAGCATGTCGCGTGAAGACCAACCGCACAGAATTCACATGGAAGCGTAATGTGCCCCTCCCATCAAAATAACAGGTTTGTGTACTGGCCAATATCATGCGTGATAATCAGGCATTCTTCCCTGCGGTTCATTTTCGGATTTCTGGAATTAATCCATAATGCCTCGAGAGTTTTGCGCGCTTGTGTTCTTGATTCCTGCGCGAGGATCGTGACACGTGCTTCAAAGTCCTCCTCGTTATGTCTCTTAAACTACATAAAATTGGCAATCCATTAGGATTGCTTTCATGAATACTTAGGCGCCCAGCCACCCATCATGTGACACCAAGTCCGCAGCATAATTTTACCTGTTTTCCCACATAGTCGTCATCCATAGAACTAACCTTTTGAGCACTATTTGTTTATTCAAAGTTAGATTTGATAGTCAACTTATTAGGTGCTAAGAGGGCTGATCGTTCTTTAGATATAAGTATTACTTATGTAAGTACAACATGCCCACAGTACTAGTCATTTAAGGGTCACCGAAGTCGGGCTGCGCTGGTATTGTCAGCCTTCATGCACTACAACGCAATCTGCAGCAAGTGAGTTCAGTTGGTTTGTCTTCTCTTGTTCTATCTCACTCTGTTGAAATTTTATAAAGACTGCATAAAATAATTGCAACTCATTGAAAGAAAATGGTGACTACTTGAAGAAACTAGAGGAAGACAACCAAAACGAAGCTAAGATAGCTCGAAAGACCGACTTTCTATAGACCTCGTCATAGATAGCTGATATATTTATTTATATGATCTTATAAACTGATCTCCTTAAGCTGACGCAAGATTGGTACAGGTCTTCGTTGTCGTTGTCGTTGTTTTTAATGGTGTTGGTCTCGCCGAAACGTCAATCATCGACCAACAACATCAAAAACAACGACAACGACAACGAAGACCTGTAGCGACTTCGCGTCAGCTTAAGAAGATCAGTTTATAAGATCACAGAAATGAAGCTAAGATATTTGCAAAACTTTGAAGGAAGGCTAAATTCTTGCTTATCATTGTGACACCATTCCTGATGCAATCATTTATTACCACCTTTAATGGACTTTATGTCACCAAGATTGTGTAAAAAAGAACTTCTTGGTTCAAATGATTTATGTATGAAGTAAAAAGTAACTGAGCAATCTGCTGTGCTACTTGTTGGGATGTCGTTAGTCATGGACTAATCGTGTATACACCAGCTTTCCACATGGGAAGCGAAAAGTATCACATTTCTGGTGCAGTACCGTAAAAAGCCAAAAATCCTTCCATATTCATTTGGGTCATGCGAATTTATTACTCCTAAAATCTTACATATTATCCGAAACCTCTGGGAGTATCCTTTTTTTCTTGTGTAGAGAGTGCACCATTCGTTTGCGATCGTAAAATTTCTGCAGCGATGGTTTCGATTTTGAATAATCTAGTACTTCGACGACGTCTAATCTAGTACTATTCGAAAGAGTGATGGGGAAACCTCATCGACGTATTCAACGAAACACCAGTAGGAAATCTTTCTATGATACTGAAATTTTCAAACAATGCAGTAAACATATCATAAATGCGTGCTTCACATCATTTTTTCAGTCACGAAGAAGAACTTTACCACCTTTTTGGAACCACATTTTCTCTCCTTTAGCATCTAAGAATCTGTTCTTTAATCTGTATTGACCTTTCTAAGAGAGGATAAAAAAAGGGTAGTGCTGTCGGCGTTGATCAATCCCTGAGAGATGCACCATGCACTCGACGTCGTCAAGCATCGTTAGAGGTGACTGAATGCATATCTGACCTTTACAATGACTCGCAGTGGCCTATTGATGTATCCAGCCAGTGTTGCTATCCTCCTAGGTAAGTCTGGTACCAATTTGTTGAGGGATTGATACCATGTGTATTGCAGCGCACCTTTAACCACTACGCTACGCACACTCCATAAAGAGAGGGGAAATATAACTTTAGAGTGTCCAGAAGAATCTGTGACTAATTTTTTTTCTTTGAAAAAATAGGAGCTTATCTCTACTTTGTCCAGGGGTTTCAAATATAGTTTTTCTAAGGCAAAGCAATTTTTTCTGTCTCTAGGAAATTTGGAATTCTATGTAAATGATAGGCTTAAGTTTATAGAGTTATAGGGATGCTGAGATATAAGCAAAACTCGCAATCTCGGCTGTCCTTCAGTTCCGCGATTTCCCTTAGCGTGGACTTACTATTTCGATACACTACATCAGTGCGCTTCCGGTGAAAACATGGCCGAGAGAGAGTCAAAGCAAAGACTTCGGTCAGTGTGGTGGATAGCATGTGAGTCCTCGGTAAAGGTAATCGTGGATAACAAGTCCGACTGAGCTTCCCAGCTTTGCTCATACCTCTTCATTTTTGTGATAATAGTTTGCATCGTATCTTGGCATGGAAAAATAAACAGCAACTAGAATTGAAAGCATTTAAATTCATAATTTTCTGTTTCAATATTATTGCTCCGTTCTGAGGACCATTGATGTATGCGGTGCGTGGGAAGATATTATATTCCAAAACCGACGTTCCTTTGACGTCGGCATAAGTAACCAGCATATATTCTTTCTGTGGCCCATGGACTCGGTTCTTCGGCTCTGATGAAGACGAAGACTTCAAAATGTTAGCCAAATAACGATTGCTATCAACCTTGTGTAAGCTTATCAAGGAAAGAATACGAAGGTATTAGGTCTAAATATGTTTCTCTTCAAATGTTGTTCAAACGACTATTGATGTGTTCGTGAATGCCGAATCGCGATGTGCAACGGAGATTCCACCCAATGTCTCGGTTACCTCAGATGAGACTGCGTTCCACAATCCCATCCGTTACGTCAAGTAAAAGTAAGCCACTGTCTGGAGACATTGTTGTTCTGAGAAGAGTAAAGTTAGCTGACAAATGGTGATGAATTGACAGAACTCCAGTAACATTTTCGAAACTCCAGGAAAAGATAAATTTACTCAGCTAGGGAATTTTCTGTCAAATGGGAGTTATGTAGGGATCCACATGATTATTTTGATATCTAAGGCGAAAACGGGCTAATCAAATATGAATGCAAACGTAATTCACTAGTGGTTGTATTTCAGTGAGGAATACGTCGAGGAACGTTTCGACATGAAGCGATTCGCCGACAAGTACATGGGCACCAACGGACAACCTTCTCATATGAGGCGAGCACTAAACCCATCCGTGACAAAATACACCCATTTTTGAGCGTAACGCCTCGATGCACTATTTAAGGAACATAGGCAGAATTCGAAATGCAGACTATTTTCTGTCAATTCATCTCTTTTTTTGCTGACTTCCCTTCCTTGTTCATTTTAACTACGGCAGTAGTCATGAGAGCTCTTTATCCCTTTTAAAATACCGTTTAATTCTTGGTTTTTGTCAAGTTTTAATTTCACGTAAGCAATCAATTTTCTGTGCGGAGCTTCTCTTTTTGCTATATTAGGATGTTGTTTCTGTTTTTAAATATTTCTATAGCACAACATTTTTGATGAAATCATCAAAAACATGGTTTTTTTTAGGTATATTGTGTATTTCTCATCGTTGTTATCCGGTAGGATCCGTGTGAACCCTGCTCCAATCTACCTACATCGGATTACGGTATCACGCCTAGCCGGGCGGGTGCTTTCGTTTAAGATCTACGAGCGGCTGCAACCTGTCTACCATACTTTACCAACGTGGGTTCATACTTCTACATGGGCCTTCTTGGCACCGACTGAACTGAACTCGCAATTTTAAAAAAGCTTCGCTGAGCTTCTAATTTCATAGTTTATTAACATAATATCTTTTCCTTCCTTAGGTATCTACTCTTTGAGTCTTCCATTTTCGTTCAAAAATGTGGTTAGGCTGATTATTTTGGAACAGAATTAAAACCATCCATCATTCGATCACTGACGAACGGAAACTCATTAAGTATTCTGTAAGCAAGAAATTTGAGAACAAATTTAAGGAAACTCGCAAGTCGTTTGTTTATAAATCTAATGGTGTTTTTTGTCAAAGTAATGAATAACTTCATCTCCATAGTTTCACTTTGCGATAGGATCTCCAGTAAATGCAATCAGAAGGAAATATGCCTATCAAACCCATGGCCGCCTTGCAACTGGTCCAGAAACTGCAGAGTTTTTTTTAAAATAAGTTATTCCATTCCATGATTCTGACGAGTTTAATGAAGAAGGCAAATAGTTCTTATCATCCTGGGACAAGCAAGAACAAGGATTTTGTCCTAATATTCGGAGAATGTGGCTTTTACTCACTGCATAGTTCACATAACTACAATGATACTGAGATACTTGCAAAACTCCCTACCGTAGGTGTATGCGATGGGAAACGAACTCGCTATTACCGTTTCCGGGGTTAACGCGTTCACCGCTTTGACATGCGGGTCGTTTGTTTTCCCTTATAATATATCTTTATCGATTTTTAATATCTCAGCATCTTTTTAGTTATACTTTACATCATAACCTGCTATGAAAAAGGACGAGCAATAAGTAAAAAAGTGAATACATAGTTCACATATTTCAGTGTATTACTCCAGACATAATTCCTTAATTTTTGTAAATTATTGGGGAATAAGAAAACTTTTAGAGAACGTTTACGAAGAAAAAGAATGTTCGGTTGTTGTTTCCAACTTTAGTGAGTTAGGTGTTCGAATCCATTTTCGATCACTTTTTTAAAATAACCCCTCAGTTCCCTATTTCAGTAATCATGAAGTTTAGAACTTGAAGAAAAAAACATGGGGCGTGGAAAATGTGGGATTATTTTCACCTCAGTATTTTTTACGCAACAGGCGTTGCCTGATTATAAGAAATAGTAGTCAAGAAATGGGATATTGGAGATGATGTGGCAGAAAAAACGTCTCTTCAAAGTTCTTTGAGCTCAATCTTGTGATTAACATGACGATGTGATGTTTGGAATTGCTCGTTGTGCGATTGTGGAATCACTCTTTTCTGTGGATTCCAATAGGCTTTACAAGTTAGCTAACTTCGTACATTTGTAACCGTGGAACAAAGATCTTTGAGTTGATTGCCTTTGTTTAATTCTAAGATTAGACGAGTACTTCCATATTCCAAAAAACATAAAGCAGGACCTCTGTCAGACCCGTTCTAGGTGTACGTATTAGTTGTCAAGAACCGTTTGCTGATTCGGCATTGTCTTAACGGACCTATTTTTTCCGCAGTAGTTAAGAATTTCACGAAAATTGAACTGTTTCTGGTTGTGAAACTAAAAATGCTTTTCATATGAGAGACGCATTTGAATTGGGTTCGTTAATCGAACTGCGGTTCTATTGATTTTGTCTTACTTATTTTGATAATTCGATACTTTGATGGCCCATCCTTTGTGCGGTTTCCGGCATAATCTCCGTTTTTTCGGAGTTTTGGTGGTTTAGCCACTGTGGTTCCCTGGATGCCCGAGGTCAGCCTGGCAAAAGTCAGCTCCTACTCGCCACCGCCATAGGCGGTCGCCGCCGTTGTGGATCAGAAGGAGATTTGCTACCATGCGACTAGTTTGGTGCCAGGACGGTAACGGATCCTGGGATTGATTCACTCCTAACTGGGCTTTCTGATGGAAACGTCGGCCTCCTTTTCAGCTTGGGAAGCCCTGTCAAGGGGATGAATCCCTTGGTGTACATCGCAACCCGACACGCGGGAACTTCTTTCAGCCACGATGAGGCGGGAAGCCGTTAGGAGGATTCATTTTGTCAGGTTGTTGAAAATCCTAAAAATGAATATGTGTAGAAAAGGAAACAATTACATTTACGACCTGCCCATTTTTAACAGGCCATTTTCAAGATAATATTCTTTTTTAAATGTTGTTTTTTCACCTTTCTTTTTTTTTTTACAGTTTCCTGTTTTATTTTCCACTGTTCTCAGTTAATTCCATGGAAAAATACTCTTGATCGTATGAAAAGTAGTCGAAGTATGAACTCTTTATTTAAAGAACTCTAAACGGAGTCGATTCAAACAAATATAATATCTACACTGTGAGGTATGCTTACAATGCTCAGTGGTTATGAAAGTTATGGCATGGAAAGAACTTTGAAATGATAGAATCAAAGCAAGCTGGACAAAGTAAAAAAGCGATTAGAAGAATTAGAAGTTCCTTCGGCAACCATTTGCGCGTGTGGCGCAGTGGCTGAGGGTGCTACTGAGACACACACTTGGAGTCGATTCCGCGCCTATGATCCTCAAGCCTTCCATCTCTCTGAGTTCGGTAAATTGCTAGCAGACTTGCTTGGGAGGATAGCAGCACTGGCTCGATACGTCCAGGCCGCCGCTAGTCATTGTAAAGTTCAGATATGCATTCAATCAATCACCTCCAACGATGCTTAATTAATTATCCTTTATCCTTCGGCTACCGTCGTCTTGTTTCACAATGTTTACTGGTTATTTTGGAGTTCACGATGTTGACTTTTGTTTTACTGCGTATTATTATTTTCCACGGCAAGGTATTATGCATAACCACCAAGATGCTGAAGTATTTGCGAAACTTGTACTGCAGACCAGATCGAAACTCTATTACCATTTCCTAGCCCTCACGAGTTGCACACGGCACCATTGAGCTTTTTGCTTTATTTATCTCTTCTAACTAGGTTCAATGACGATTTGTGCTTTCAGGACTACTACCGTTAGGTAGAAAACTAGCTGAGAGAAAAGCGAGGCAAGAGCCTCAGTGGTGCCTTGCGTAGCACGTGGGCCGGAAACTGTAATCGCCGTTCGATCTGGCTTGGGGTCCAACTTTTGCAAATGTCTCAGCACCATAGTGGCTATGTTGGAGTTGTCAGCCCTATTCTGTGTGACTTGCTATAGAGTCGAATAACAGCAATTAGCTAGTAGTGGTGGTGTAAGAACTCACTGTAAAAGATGTAATTGGAGGAAGGTAGACATATTAAAAGAGTTATGAGAAGAAGTTCCTTCGGTTCGTGTCGTCTTGTTTCACTATGACTGTTGGTTGCCTTGTAGTTTTCCCTCTTGCGGTGTGGGTTTCTATCGAGTCAAATCAGAGCAATTAGGTGGTGGGGGTGGTGGACGGAGGACGCATTGTCGCTATCCGGCTGACAACACATTGGCGCCACTGGGAGGCATTCTTTGAATGTGAGGCGTCGGCATCGATTATGCAAAAGCATATGTGGATTGGGATTGGGCTGAAGTCGTCGTGCTGCTTTTCACCAACTACTTCCGTCGTAGCATCAACCCCATCAGCACTTGTTGTCGAACTTTTTTCATCTACATCTGTCAATTCGTTCACCACTTTGTCGAAACCCCGATTTTCAAATTAACTCGTAAGCTGCAGTTGCACATGTTGCTTCTTATTTTGCCAATGAACATAATTACTCTTATAGTCGTGCATTCCAATCGCTTTTATTTGGGAGTGAGCGTCAATAACCATGTGATCGTATAACCTTTACTATGAAGCGCCTGTCACGTTTTAGTTCTGCCGTTGGTTTACTTCAGAGCCAACCACACCCTTTCTATCTGAAATGTCACCTTATTCTCCTATTCTCACCTAAATCTAAAAGATAATAAATTTGTCTTTGAAGGCCATGCCATTTGCTTTCGCGTAGAATTGTCACGAAGGTAACATAGGATCTTTATCCAATGCCCCAAAAATCTGTGTATGGTACGTGACTGTGCCAACGCTTTTTTAAAGGTGATGTGATTACTGTAGTGTGTTTGTTTTTCATATATCCCTCTACACTCCTTTTTTGCTTTTTCTTCCTATAACCAACTTTTTAGAGTAATTTTTATAACTATATTTAGTGAACAATTACGATTTCCCAGCTTTTTGTGTCTGCTTGCCATCTAATAATCCTTTTTGCTCGGAAAAGTGTAGTTCAGTGCTTAGAAATGCGCTATAGTGTGAACAAGGTCATTATTTCGATCCCACACCCCGTGCCAGCCAAATCTTCGTCTTTGTATGGGACGACAAAAAGTATTGTGCTGATACATCGGTAGGAGGCTGCATGTCATTGTGTGGCTTAAATATGTATTCAGCCACCATTGTGATCTAACGAATGGAGCTGAATGCATGATGCATCCCTCAGAGATTGGCCAAGACCCAACTATTTTATCCTCCTTTGATTCTATAGTCTATTAGTTATATTGATAGTTGAAGTGTGTCCTAGTAGTGATACGTAGAAGACGGTCAAGCCTTTTCCAAATAATCATGTTATGGACAAACGGTGCCATTTTGGTTGAGATATTTTCCAGTCATTTTTAAGTGAAGTGCTGACTCGTCTACCGTCCACTTTCTCTCATAATAAACTTTCTTTGGTCAATCATTCATTTTTCCTTTCTTCTTTTTCTGAACGAAATCACGACATTTTCTAAGGGATGACACCATTCTGGTATGTAGATGGTTCCAGTGTTTGTAAAAATGGAAAGACGTTCGTGGATGCATTACAGTTTTGGTTTCACTAACGTGTTCAGAGTCAACGTTTACTGCGAGGACTTTGCCCACTGTCTAAAATGTTTATATAACCTTTTTACGGTTGCTATTTTTACAACGTTTTCGGGATCCTGCCTGTATTGATTTGGCTAATATACATTTTATATCAATATACTTTGCAAGCGTTCTGTGTGTCATTCTTATGATTTGAGTGGTTACGCTACTCATTCCATTTTTGATCCGGGTTTGAAAACCCCATGTAATGAAATCTCAAAATTCACTTGACAATAACATATGAGCAGCATATGAGGAGACTGAAGCAGTAAAGTGTGAAATAGAAATACGTGTGGGGG